CAGAATTGTGCGGCTACAGAAAAAAAAGCAAAACCTCAATTTGGGTTTTCGTCAAAGCGTGTCATGCAGCGTTTCACAGCAGAATTCATACTTTCTTCCAGATTCGGTGTTTGCATTCATTTAAATTTTACGCAGTCACAATAAAAGCTTTTCCTGTCAGCAATGATGAACACCGCGCGGCGAGGTGTAATTATAAAGAAAAGGAAAATATATTACAATACACGAATTATGCGGGATTGCTGTAAGAATTGCATAATTATAAAATGAATTCAGTAACAAGTTTGTCGACCACCATGGCCACCTGCGTCGTAATTTCTTCTATTTCGGCGTCTTGGAACCTTAAACAAAAACTGATCTGTCACTGCCCATACAAACATAGCGAAACGTCCAAAACGTTTCGCTGTGTGATACGACAATCAAACAAAAATAGCGACAGAGTGTAGTTTCTTACGTTATTAATTCAAACTTGTCGGTTCTATTGAAAGGCAAAATGCGTTGAACAGAATTGAAGGAGAATTGAAGGAGGTGAGTCGCCCAGGAAGAAGAACACCTGTAAACATTTTTTTGGAGGCGCTGGGAGTAGTTTGAAAGTTTATCTTTCACTGTTTTTCTGATGATAAACTGTCGACCATCAGAGGAGGATAAAAAAACATAAGAATTGTAAACTGGTGTTTTTACAGCGCAGCTGACTGGGTCAATGATTACAAACATTACATCAAGGTACTCGCTGCTAATTGGGCAATATAACAGAAGCGCCGAAAAAACCGGAATAGCATGCACTCCTTCGAACGGAAACACTTCCACCGCGGCATACATCGAACAAATGGTTAGTTTCCACCCAACATCAGTAAAAGCGAATTGGGTTGATCATATTAACATAGTTCATTCTTCTTTTAAAAGTGAACTTTGATTTCATCACAGCCTTTAATCATTCTGAAGTTACAAATGTATCAAGAACAAAAATGGCTGGTCGGAACTTTTTTTAAGGCAAAGCGAATTGTCTGCTTTTTCTTTCCGGCTTACGAGCAAATAGGGCTTCAAGTGTTTTGCCTGGCGAAATCACCATCTGAGCGTTTTAAGTTTTCGTGAAAGACGGCGGCAAAGCAAGCGTAAAAGAGGTCGGGTGCAATGCAGAAGGGCTTCACGCTGGTTATTCATCAAGTTCATTAGTTTATTAAAAAAAAAAACAACAATACACTGCCTTAGAGCGGAATTGTAAGCAGCAAACTGCAACAGCGCCCGGTTAGGGGTTGACACATTATGCTTCTAAAATCGAGCATTATGCTTTTTGGCACTGCCCCCAAAACGGACTATTATGCTCCAAATTATGCTCGACAAAGTGCGATAATAGTAATGGAAACCATGTAGAACATTAAAATAGCTTGAAATTTTGTAGTTTTAACTTAACAAATGGACAATAGTAGCTCTAAAAAAGGAAATAACTGTTATGTTGCAAAATGGCACTATTATGCCGCCAAAAAAGCACTATTATGCCGGCATTATGCTCGATGCTCCACATATAGTATTATGCTCGAAATTATGCCGGCATAATGTGTCAACCCCTACGCCCGGTTAAACGTTAACTGTGGTTCTTTGTTACGTAACCTTACTCCTCGCTCGCCAGATCAGACTCGGTATTTGCACTTATGCAAATTTTCCATGAAAGTGAGACAGTATTAAAAAAAAAAATGTGCGAAGAGCTTTATTCAGTAATTAACGATAAATATTTTTTCATAAAATAAACTAATAAAAATTTAGGGCGAAGAATTTCTCTCTCTAATCAGGTTTCTAAAGTATATAACGTAACAAGACAATTTCTGTAGTTTGAACTAATTAATCTACAAAGCTGTAATCGGACAGTTGGCTGTAATCAGACACCTGCAATCAGACAGTTACACGAGCCAATCATTTGAAGTCTTCTTAACTGAATCCACCAATCACAACATTGACCGAGGTTCATCTCCGTAGGCGGTTTTCAAAGGAGCTTAACACCGTTTTTCAAGCTATTCTCCATATTTTTTTTTCTCGGAAATTGTAATTATCATATTTAAGAATGACTATTGAAAGCTATTTTTCAAATGAAACTGTTTCCTTTTTGTGAAATTGTAATGGTTACGATTAATTGGTAACAGGACATTGTGCCGTCCAATTCTGTCTGTAATCATACTTGTGACTGACAAATCGGCCTCCCGCTTCGCGGTCATCCCATTTGTTTTAAAATCATTCATATGAATTGACTACAGACAGAACTGAACTCCACTCAGTCCTGTTACCATTATAAATTAGCGATATAGTCTTACCTTTTAATCAGTTTTACCCTTTTAAACTTGTAAAGCCCTTGCAAGGTAGATTTTTAATCGAATCCTCGTGACTTTTTATCGTTAGTTTCTATTACCAAATTATTATTATTATTATTATTATTATTATAATAACAATTATAATTATCATTGTTATAAAATAAATTTTATATGTTCTAATATAAAAAAGTAAATGCGAAGAACCCCTCGCCCTGCCTAGTTGTCGGTAAGAATTTTTTAAATATATTAATATCTGCGAGACTCCATTATGAGTGCAATAAACTACAACGTTAACGACTCAATCAATATGAAATTCCGCTAGCGTCATGTACCGTAGTGATTCGGTTTTTTGAGAAAAAACCAAATGTTCAAAACGCAACTTTAATACGGTATTTATTTAAAAAGGAACAATAACAGAAGCTGTATTACAGTAACAATTATACGGTGACTGGATTAAGGAGTCGGAGACTGGAAAACGGGCTTGTCACGGTCCCTAGATATCTCTTGGCCGGGTGTCTGGAAAACTCGAATAGCGAATAGCGAATAGTCGCGAATAACGAACAGCGAATAGTCTCGATTAGCGAATAGCGAATAGTGCGAATAGTCTCGAATAGTGCAAATGGCGGCGAACAGTCTCGAACAGTGGCGAATAGTGGCGAATAGTGGCGAATAGTGGCAAATACTAAGGGTACCCAGTGTCTCGCAGTCAACCTCGCAGCAACGTAGGATGGGATTTCCCCGCTAAAAGGTACAGACGCTGTAATATTATCGGATCAGAATAGGGGGGCTTATTGGAATAGGGGCACTTATCAATGCAAACACATTCGAAGGGGGGCGGTTATTCGAAAGGGAGCGCTTATTGGAAGGAGGGCGCTAAATCGAATCATTACGGTATATATAGCATTCTGATTATCTTCAAGCGATTGCAGTAAAGACGAATACAAGTAAAGAAAAACAAGATCACGGTCAGACTAAGTACCATAACAAACAAAGTTGAAATTACAAGTATCCTATTTCTCGCACTATTTCCGCCTCTCCTCGAGTAGAGTTGGACTTAGATATGTTTTGTTTATATCCCGTCCGTCATGTTCAAACATTATGGCATTAGGTTTGTCGTCCATTTTACGTGTCTGCTCGGCGACCTGGCCTTTGAATGGCAGCGAGGCTGGAGGTGACCTTGCTTTGATAAAGATCTCTCTACTACTGTCATGTAAATGCACCTAGATAGCATTAGAACAACTTTATTTACACAACAAAAACAGTGAGGTCTGTATCAAAACAAAGTCACCTCCAGCCTCGCTGCCATTCAAAGGCCAGGTCACTGAGCAGACAACTGTAAAATGGTCTATTGTTGAAACCACGTATTACTCGGCAATCTTGCTCCAAGTACTTCTCTTCTTCCCGTCCTCCAACCTCGTCCCCAAGGTCTGAGAGAACCTTGGAACGAGGTTGACCGTCCTCTCGGGCCGAGAGCGGTGAGAAGAGAAAATAAAACCTCTTGTATAACCCTTTCTTGACAAAGGTGAATGTGTACCCTCGCTCAGACAAAAAGGTATAAAACTGTAGCTGTGAGATAATTTTTTGATGCTCTAACCCTCAAATGCTCGTGCCAAATGGCTCGTCTCCCGTAAGTAACGCACGCGAAAGACTCGAAAAGACGTAGGGGACGGTGAGTTAGAAGAATGTACACACTCTTTTTCTTTTTTTTTTTTTTGGAACAAGATTATATATTTCATAAGAATCTCGAGGCTGAAATTTGCGAAATGAAGAATATTTCAAGAATACACCTGAGGCTGAGATTCTGAAAGCGTATAATTTTGTTTCTTGAAAATTAGTTGAGACAAAACAATTATATATCTCTACTAAACCGTATAAAATTCCTCCTTTCTCTAAACGGCAAAACTAGCCAAAAAGTAACAAAAACAGCACTAGCCGTATGTTCGATGCTAGCAACATTTCTGTAAGAAGTTACGTGCGTCATATAAGCTTAAATGCCTTAATATCATAATAATACCTAAAATAAAATAGGCAGAACTGAGAATATTCAGCCTCGGCCGGAAAATCAATCCTCTTATTATAAAAGAGTATACATGCATTAAAAATATATCGAAGATCTTGACGCATTAGGTTTACCTATCAGTGTCTAATGTCATTAAGTAGGCTAGCTAGGCTAGCCAGGGCTAGGGTAGAAGAGGTGGTTTTCGTTTCCGTGATCTGACGGCCATGTTACAGTTGTGCACTCAGTGACCTGGCCTTTGAATGAAAACGAGGCTGGTGGTGACCAGACCTCATTGTAATCTGCGATCAGGCGTTCTCTTTTAAACAACATGGGGAAGGAGAAAAGAAAAAGAACGCCTGATACAATTACTTCACGAGTCGTCTACCTGCGGTCCAGAATCTGGACTTTTTCCTGATTGGTCGTTAAACAAAAGAGTCTTTAAGCTCCCCTTTCGCGAAGAAAAAGAATGCCTGATCGCAGGTTCACCTCACTGCTTTTGTTGTGTAAATCAAGTTGTTCTAATGCTAACTTACTAGTTCACATGTAAATAAGAAAAGCACAGAGGTCCGTATCAAGGCATGGTCACCTCCAGCCTTGCCTTCATTCATAAGCCAGGTTACTGAGCACACAACTGTACAATGGCGTATTGATGGGCATAGGCTGGGTGGTCTAAAATATTTTTAATGGTTTGTAACAACTTCCACTACGCTTACGATAACTGCACTTTATTGTTCTTTGAGTTATCTATAGTACACACAATCATTTTATGCTCTGCGGCTATGCTACGTGAATTTCTAGAGCAGATTTCTGAATAGCTACCTTCCCTGTATGACTCGTTTGGATATTATACGTTTAGCATCCGGGGTCGCGTTTATCTCAAACTGATGAAACTTATGTCGCTCCTTGGTTCGTCACGCCGAGATGCGTCACCCTGAATGAGTCACTCAATCTATGATCGACCCTGCGTCCTGCGAAGAGGTGCGTGACGTAGTGCATCGAAGAGAGGACTATTTAATAGGAATACGAAGGAATTGACTACGGAAGGAGGTTTAACACTGGCGAGTGCCCGTTCTGAAGTACAAATGTCTTGGTTATACATTGCATTGAATGATAAAAGGACAACCGAAAAACAAGAATGGTGCCCTTTGTTGCTTGTATCTACTATTTTAGCCTGATAAGTGTAGCTGTTTTATTAATTAAACTAAAATAAAAACGTCGATAAACGGTTAGCTTTCAGCGTAGCATTCCTTAGGACACGTCACGCAATCTTAAGGGATTGCATGACGAATCTAAAAGAAGTCTGCGTAAGAGGCTAAGAGACTTAAAAACTCGATGATTACTACTGTTTTGGCGGTAAACCACCTTGATCATAACCGGGTGGAGCCTCGCCACCCTGGGCCATCATAACGGGCTGCTGTCCCGGGTATGGCTGCTGTCCCGGATATGGCTGGGCAGGGTAGGCCTGTTGTTGCATCATTGAGGTCTGTTGCATCACAATAGGATACCCAGCTGGCTGTTGCACCACCACCACGTTAGATTGCTGCCGAAATGAAAATCAAAACAATATTAAAAGCCTTGAAATACAGAAAGTTCCGGGGAATTACTAGGGAAAATGCAAGAAGGTTGGAAAGGTGTACCCAGGGAGGAGGGTACTCCTTATAATGGACTATACGGGGAGGCTCTCCCCGAAAGGAGTCCTTTTTAAGTCTCTAGGCATTTGAAATTAAGTTGAAGTCGTTGAAGGATAGAAAAGGGTAGGAAAAACTGTCATTAAGGTAGTTAAAATAGCCTTTCGAAATATCTTGTAGAGATGTATTATTGTCTATGAGGTACAAAGACTTTTTTGCCTGGAAATGTACCTTTTTGGGTTTTCTTTTTGGTCATTTTTTAGGGTTGATAAAAGTGTCCTGTAGGTATGTGAAAGCAGTACCATGTTCTATGGAAATCGATCAGATTTTTCAGAATGCCTCGGAAACCCAGGAAAGAGGGACTTAAAGGAGTTTCATAGAGGAGCTACCGCGGGTTTGCGCCTTCGGCGCTCATTGTTTCGGAAATCGGTTACCACTCATCCTAGATTCCTGCCTGAAAAGGTTACATTTTCTGTCAAAAGTGTCATATAAAGGGGTAAGGGTTTGTTCCTCGGGGAAGAGCCTCCCCGTATAAAAGTTTATAAAACTTCGTTGAGTTCCACCCCCTCCTTCCCCTCTTACGCCAGGACGGCCTGCGGATACGTCTTGTAAAATGTCTGTGTCCGTAGTTCTGTCATAACTGCACGGCTCTCAATTCCAGACTGACGGCCGAAAATAACCATCCTTTTTGGATATGTTTTCTCAACTATAGCTGGTTTTCACATGACGTCACTAAAATTCAAACTACAAAACTACTGATCTTCCTGAGATTTTACTTCAATGATGTATAGGAGCAGCTGGAAACTAATATTCATACAAATTTTCGCTCCGAATGGGTTCTTGGTTTTGGGATACACTACGCTTGAATTTGTAAGCTTTTGCGTGACGCGGCATTTACATGACAGCCTAGAGAGCTGTCATGATGGTTAAAATAAGTGACTT